AAACTATTTTGATGATGACAATCTTATTTTTGATCCCTTAATAAAGAAAGTTAATGGAAAAATAAAATGACTAGTATGATTCTAAAACCAGATATTTGCCATAAAGAGATGAAGTGAAGAGCAAGGAAATTAGGTCCACAAATCTAGATGTATACAAAGAATGAGTAAACAGTACAAATAAAAAGCCCTCAGAAATCAGTGAATAAAAATAACAAAACAATTTGGAGGGAAAATGAACCTAAATTAACATATCTATTAGAATATGAAAAAAAAAGACCTTAAAATTCTGTCCATTCTTCTAATGATGCCTGGGCCTATCGACACAAATGTGAAAAAAAAAAAAGAGCCCTAAATAAAAATATTTATTTGTGGACTTTTACCACATGTATGGCATTAGAGGAACAGAAATATCTCACAGATAACTCTACTCACTTGTACATAAATGTGAGATTAACGTAGTCAGGCACTATGGTACATAGGATCCCACTGCTCTAGAGGCTGAGACAAGAAGATTGCAAATTCAAACCCTGCCTGGGCAACTCAGTGAGACCTTGTCTCAAAATAAAAAATTAAAAGAAAATAGAGCTGGAGCACAGTTGTGGAGCACTTGCCCAATAGGCACAAGCCCTGTGTTTAATCCACCATAGGAAAAAATAATAACAATAAACATGACAAAAATGAGTATCAATAAAAGAAGTCATGTTGTTGTGAATTCTATGTATTCTATTACCATATTATTGAACTGAACAAGTTCAGCTCACAGTGAAAACTCACAAAAGGCAGGCTGACATAATAAAGAGACTGGAAGAGATGTTACCAAACAAAACCTGTGCTACAATTCCAATCAATGAAGGATTTGAAATGAAGAGCTCATAGATAAAATATAGATCAATGCTTCAATTATTATTTCTATATTGAGGTTTGTTGAAGAAGCAATTTGGGTAAACTGTCAAAATTTTTAATACAATTTTTTGAAAATTTTACACATATTTTGTTCTGATATGAGTAAAATCTGAAATTTCCAAAGTGCTCACAAGCTGACACAAACATACAGCCTGAGGGACACTTTTGTATGCATAGATCAGCCTCACTGTTAGGTAATATGAAGGCAAGATGGACTAAGAGACTATTCAATAAATGATTCCCTGTAGTTCTGTGATTCTACAAAATCACCGAATTAGAAATTTTACAGATCATTGCCATGTTAGCTTTTTGTTACTCAATATCAGTTATTATTGTATGATGCTTTATAAAAATGACAATGTTTCACAAATGTATTTGTGTTGGTTATCTCATGGCTATCTTCAAGGTTTATTATGTTTATTATCAAGAAATCCACACATTTCTAAATAACAAGAGCTCGTGTCTTTATAATTATATCATTTAGGCTCATTGAAACAGCAAATGCTCATTCACTGACAAAACCATTGAGATGAAGTTCAAAATAAGAAGGGAAAAATCATATACAAAAATGACTGAAAGGTGAGCATTTTTTCAATTATTGTTTTCCTAAAATATATAACTAATAATTTTTACCAATGACATTACTGAACGTGCATTATTTTTATGTTTCTTATTTTATGAGAATATTCAGATTTGTTTCATGTAATACATTGTGTCATTTAAAGCATGGGATTTTAAACATGATATCTATAATTCTAAACAAATCCCTGGAATATTGATGACAACTATGTAATGTTATTTTCAAGCTCCAGAGAATATTTCCTTCATCTTGAAAGGATGATTTAAAGTGAGGCAAACAAAATTTTAATTAAAAGTTTAAATATTTTATCATTTTTATTCTAAAATAAAAAATAAAGGAAAAGAAAGCTAAGATAAACATTTTTAGCTAAATTTAAAAGCAGTGTTTGGAATATATATGGCATATTTTATATATTTAAATTTATTTTCTCAACCTGTCTTTGTATCCTTCTGCTAACTTGTCATGAAAATTAAAACACTGTACCAAAGATAAGAGAAGCTCATAAAGTGCTCATGACTGACTCAGGAAGTACTGACAGATGTGTTCAAAATTACTCCTAATTTTCAGAAGGGTTTCATAATTAGATGTATCATGTATATACTTCATAGATCTTTTATATATCACAAAAAGAAAATGTGACTATGGACATTTTTAAGACATGAAGTACATTTTTAATATATATCTATGCTTAGTTTAATGTAAACTTTGGTTTCTTGTACTTTTAAACTTTTATAATGCTATAGAAATGGAGAGTTATTGCTACAGACAATAATCTCATTTTTATTTTTAACCATATTTCCACTTCCTTCTTATCACTTTATAAATGAAAGTGGCAGCCTCGTTAGGCTTTTTCAGAGCTTCACAAAAATAATTAAATACACAGCTACTTTTCTGAACATCAAAATGTATATATTTTGTTCATTGTAAAACTAACTACATGTTTAGCAAAAGAAAAACAGCAACCTCAATAGTTATTTAAACATTTTGATTAAAAGCAAGTGATTATTGTCAATTTTTAGCTCCTTTAATTACATAAGGGACATGCTTTTTAATTTAGGAGATGAGAATATTTCCATTCCTGATGATAAGTGACACAAATGTTAAGAATTATCACCATATTGAGGAGGGTGGGGTAAAATGTTCAAGTGTATTTTTGGTTAGTGTTCTGTCACTATTAGATTAACAATAAAATTGACTATGCCTATTAAGTCAGAGTGAAAATGTGATTTTAGGGGTAACTGGATGAGTCCAGAGTAACATTAAATAGCAAAATTTGTTTAAAAATTCAGATATGACTAAAATTGTAAGCAGAGCTAAGGATAGTACAGGTACAAAGAACATTTTTCTGCTAATTTTCCATCCAGGTCAAACTTCACCCCCAACCTAAATTTTGAGCAATTTGAGCGGGTTCAAGAAAATAAGACAGTTATTAAAAACAAATTTACTCCAGCTCAGACAAACAAATCTAAATTTACCTGGTAAAAACTAGATTTCTTCTTTGATTTGTAGCAACACACATACATACTAATTTCATAATCCCTGAAACCAATTATCCACATGAAAATACCAGTTTTTTAAAATGTAGAGAAACTTGCATTGAAGTGTATCTATCATTATGATCTTATTAATCAATATTGTCATTGTAACAATATTAAAATTTAGTCAGTGAAAAAAAAAATTTGTAGGTGAAAATTCCAGTTATACATGTAAGTGCAATTTTACCAGGATGGGTACTGACAAAGAGCAAAAGAAGACAAATTTATTTTCTATTATATTTGAAGTAGATTTACCTGATAATATATGCAGAAAGTAAATATTTGTATTTATTTAAAATTACAAATTTAAACTCCTCTGAATCATAGGCCTGATCACATTTTGCTTTGGAACTATTGATAATACATTTTCACAAGATAGGTTCTTAAGTGAAACAATACTAAAATTTGGGAAAAGTTTTATTTTCAACAACAAATTAAGTCTTAAATCTAGAATTCATCTGAGTGGCACAGAGGTTATTCTCAACTTCATAGATTAAAATTTGACCTTAGGGGATTCTAATTAGATCATTTATATGAAAATGTGAGTTTAAATTTAGGACTCTGGAGCCTGAATTACATCATATGTACTACAATACATCACCTAATTGTGCTTTGTATATTATAACTTTTAAAAAGCTAAGAAAAATATCAATGATTTATAGATAATCACCCTTATTTGTTTCCTAAGTGTTTAAAGTACTACATCATGCTGGGGCAATAGTGTTTCTAAATAACTGAAAAAGCTAAACACAATCTTTCTTAAAACACCATGCCATCACTGTTGTCCTCACGATATATACATCTGATGAAAGCCTCCCTGCTTTAATCACAGGTGCTGAACTTTTCCCTGTTGTCAAAGTCCAAACCAACAGCCAGGCCCTCCATGAATTCGCCCCATGCCTTTCACATTATACATGCACAAGGCAGGAAGCATATGTCCTGGTATTTTTTGTGGTTAGGGTTTTTCTTTTCCATTTCATCAGTCAGAAAAGCAATATTATATCTATAAACTGACTCATCTCTTGTTTATAGCTTATGCCGCAATTTTTTACACCATGAGGAAAGAAAACATTACATAAGATGGAGTTTCAGTACAAGACAAACGTCATCTTTTGATTGAGTTGTTACGAGTTTCACCTTTATCATTACTTATGTGGTTGGACTGAGACATTGAATTGTAAATAGTATTTATCCATTAACTAAAAGATTCCTATTTAGCAGAGAGTAAATGGAGAAATTTCATTACCAAAATTCTCAAAGGAAATCTATTACAGAATTTGAAACCATTATTGTTTGGAATGGTTGAAAAAAATAAGGCACTTAAAGAATATGACCCCAATAAGCAAAGATATGAGTGCAACTATTACTGCTTCAATATCTCAAGAACTTATTTTAAATGAAGGAGGAATTCTGCTGTACTGGTATACTTTCATCTCAAAACTCCTCTGACTCTGATCAGAGACCTGAACCCATAAAACGTATTACTAACTCATGTCGAAAGATCAAAATGATGTCTACACTGTATTCTGGATTTGGCATAATGTGTTTAAGATCACTATGGCGCAAGAATGATTAGGCAGTAATGCAATCAGCCATCAGTAAGAAGAAAGAGAGCTTTCAGTGACGCAAGTGTCAAGAGATAAAATTCTTTCACCTAAATATGTCTTCAAAACAAACAAATCAACTAAGCAAGTGTGCCACACCCCGTGGAAATATACAGAACTTTTGAAAAGGTTCTAAATAATATCAAAAGTTGTGTTTTATTGTTGTGATTATGTCCTGACACAGGAATCCATCTTACGGTCAAATACATTCATTCATATTAAATTGCCATTGGCATCCAAAAGTCACTGTTTTCTTCTTTCTAAAATCAACCTGAACTCTACTTTTCCAAGAATAAGGATATATCCAAGAATAAGGATATGTTGAATGCTACTTTCTCAAGGGGAACACCTTTACACAGCCTTTTGTGCAATACTTACTCAAATACGGTGGTTTGTAAGGCGCTCGTGTAGTAGACAGCAGTCCGTCCAGCTCCTTCCTCTCCAGAGTGCTGTGCAGGGCCTTCTCTTTGCCGAAGGTGGAGAAAGAGCGCTCTGCCCCAGGCTGGGCTTCTGGAGTTTCAAACACCTCGGTGTCAGGAACAGAGTCCATGCCGGGAACATGCAGATTGCTGCGGTAATCAGCAGCCTGGCGTCCATCGGAAGGGACAAAAGAAGGCATCCAGCACCGATCTGAGTGGCCCAGTGCTTTACATTCTTCAGTGCAGTTGGAGAACAGATCCATACCTGTGAGCAACATAGAAAGAAACTACAGATGTAATCTTCACCAACAACACCAGCTGCTCACTGGTGAAAGACTGTGGGTGACAGAGAGTGTGGATGGTGAAGGTGTCTTAACAGATTGCTGGACCCCAAAAAAATCTTTTATTATTTTATCCATCGTTTTAAAAAGATAAATGATCTGCAAGTGTAAAGGATGATCTTGTTTTGGCAAAGATGCTTGAGAGATGTTTGTAAACTACTGAGGATATTGAGGGGAAAAACGTTGGCTTCACTATACATATTTAAGTAATTACAAAAGAGTGAATAGCAGAAAAAAGATATTAAAAAAAACCCCAAGGAGTTCAAAACAAGAAAAATCAAGATGCAAAGTCTTCATATGCAAGAAATGCTAATGATGATATTTAGATTATAGAAATAAAGTGAAATTCAACAGAAATATGACATGCACACCAGTAAATAACAGTAATAAAACAAGATTTCATGAGCAGCTAAAAGCAGGCTTTCTTGAATTGCTGGGAAATGACTTATAAAAGTATTTCTCATTGGCACTGTGGTAGTCCATATCACTAGAAATCACTTCTTATTTATCACCTTAGACAAACCCAGAACAAATGACTATAATTAGTGAAACCAAGGTGACCAAATGCACTGTGAATCAGCTACAGATACTATTGACAAATACCTCATTACTTGTTCTATATCGTAAATACTTGTCCTGGTTAGAATGAAAATGCTTATTAAACCTATAATACCAAGATTTCAAAAGACCATTTCAAAATGTATTGTTTTCCTTAGATTAATAACATTTTAAAATATTTATTATCTCATTATGATCAAGAAATCTCTTCCAGTGTCTTGGGTAAGGTTTAAGAACTTTTGTGCTCTACAGAATACTATTTGATATCCATTTTGATATACAATGATATACAGAAGATCAAATAAAAGAACCATTTTAATGTGCTTCTAATCACAGTAACATATTTATTGAATCTGTTTTAAAACAAGATTGACTTGAAATAACCAAAGTATGATTAATCGGTAGAGGGAAAAAAAAAATCTTGATTGTATGACAAGTGAAGAAAAACTGGAAAGTTTTTTAGCCAATAGAGCAATTTTTATTTATGAAAATATTTGATTGTTATTTCTATAAATAACACAGATGATTTGATCTCTGGAGCAAGTTTTAATTTTTAAACTCCTGATGGCGTTATGATGTAAATCAATTTATATGAGCTGGTGAGGATATGTCAAGGTTTTCATACATAAAATATTTTTGTCAATCATGAAAATTCCAGATTACCTACAAATATCTTCACTCTAAGAACCGCTAGTTACATTAATTTTTAAAATAGCACTCAATTTCATATATTAATCTCACTATATAATGACTATTTTAAATTAAACTATATATAACATCTCAATTATAAGATGACATCAATAATTGCCATGCACAAGATAACACTGGACCTAATTTACTGATCAGTGAAATGTTGAGGAATGAAAATATGACCTGAGGCTAGGATGAAGGAATTTGCCTAAGAACTGCATGCAGAACATGCAAATGTTTCACCAGGCACCAGAGAAGCTCAGTCTTTACTCCTGCTTCTGGGAAAAAATGTGTAGGAAGAAACAGAGAAAGGTAAATAGAGGGCTGCTGATGTGTTTATATTCATAGGGAGAGACCCAGAGAGATTTATATTTTGGCATACTGCACTATAAGTGCTGCCTATTTAGTAGTGTGGAGGACAGAAAAAATATTTTATTTCATGGAAGAATCTATTTTGAAGAATAAAATTATTATGAGCAATTAGTTATTTATTTAAATAATAAGTACACGAATTTGGGAAGAGATGATGGAATCCTTTTCAAACAGTAAGATGAAGTTTTTCATTAGATCCTGGTAAAGATTGGTTGGTACTAATGTAAAACTTGTAATTAATACAAGTTTTACATGACATATCATCTAAAATATGTCAAATAAGAACATAGATGATTTATCACATTTTTTTTGCATCCATGCCTAAAAAGTCTTCTAATTCTGAATATCACAATCCTACAAAGAAAGTTTTCATAAACTAGTATTTTAACATTATATATTGCTTACGGATATCACAGGGAACTTTGGTAGAAACTATTTGTATGGGTAGTTTGTACTCAATTGGGCTCATTTTATCTTTTTACAAGCATGTAGTATTTCTCTCTAAATTATTAGAGGCTTGTTAAAATTTCTTGAGATGATGCAATAAAGTTTGCTGGAGTTGAGAATATGTACAAAAATATAGCATATGCATAACAAAAAACAAAGAATATAAAAGTTTTTGGTTGGAACAACAGTGTCAAGGGGAAAATCATAAAATCTTTAATAATTTATCAGTTGATGCTTTAGAATAGAATTCCCTCAGCATAACATAACTAGAATGAAAAGTAAGGCAGTTCAAATCGTGCTTGAATGTTTCACCCGTTGTACTGATGAAACGAGTAGACCTACATTTTGTGGGGATAAATCAGACAAAGAAATGAAAATAAAAATTATGACATAATTGGTAAATTTTAAATAGTAACAGAGAAATGAACTGAAAGTTGATTTCTTTCATTTAGATATATATTTTGAACACCAAATAAACATATTACGTTACCAGTCCTCACCTTAGGGAGCAACTGTATCACTAATATTACTCTTAACATTCATCACTGACTTCTTTAAATATATTATCTTAATTATCAGACAAGTAGATGCATATCTAAGTCTTTTTGTGAAAAATGACTCCATAATACATGGAGGTGGCAGATGTTATAATACCCATGACACGTAAAAATGCGTATCTTTCACACTGTTCATGCAATTATTTAATGTCTCAAATTGGAATCTCACCAGTTGATAAGTTCAACTTCACTTTCTTTTTCACATTCTAATGTATTTACTATAAATCTGTGGGATTTGTTATAGCAAGAAAAATGCAGGGCAATCATCTTTGAAATTTTGGTAATATATAAGAAATGTCTCAACATACATTCTTGACTTGCTGTCTCTTTTTCTAGTTATTTATTTTTCCACTTTTCAGAAATAATCTGTTCTGCAAGGCATGACAGCTGATGTGATAGACTGCCTGTTATGCAAAGATATATTTAGACAAATTTTAAAATACATATTTTTAAACTTGTCCCTGGTAGTCAGAGGTAGTGGGTAGTTTCATGGAGAACAATGTGATTTTTAAAATATTAGAATTGTATTCAATATGTGCTGGGCTTTGAAAGAAGTAGTAATACAAAACTATGTCCATATTTCTTTTTCATTCAACAAGGTTTCATTAGAATATGATAAATCACTTTTAAAGATATCAACATTCTTTGAGATTTCCAGTCTTCTATTAACTATATAATAATGAAACACTAAGAATTGGTAAACTATTTTTAAAACTACATGTTAGGAGGCTACATGTTAGGAGGCCAGGGATTTAGCTCAGTGGTTTCGATGCCTGCCTCACAAGCACAAGGTCTGAGTTCAATCCCTGGTACGAAAAAATGCTACATGTTAGGAAACAGATGTTTGTCAACATAATTCACTGATGCAAAAACAAAAATTGAATATCAAAATTATATCCCCACCCATCATCTTGCAAAATGTTTACGGTATTCTTTATTTCCTGTCCATAGTTTGTCTTATGTATTTTTCCAATTACAAATCTCTACATAGTATCAAGGTATAGCTCAGAGACTCATCAAAAAATTGAATAATTTTTTGTAAATAACTGCAAAATACTAATTCAGATAATTTTATTTTTTTAATTTATAGCCAATTTTTGAATACGCTTGGTGAAAACCTCATAAATAGCTAAGTACCAGGCATATTTAGAAGATAATTTCCTTATAACCCCAAAAAAAATTACAAAAGAAATTTGACAGATAAAGTGTAACAAGTGACTTAATCACTTGTCAAGATTCTCTTTAACATAAATTTTTAAAAGAATGAGCTAATCAAAATAGGATCATGATTAAATCTTGTATTATTTATAGCATAGATATATAAAAAATGGAAGAAAGCTTTCTCATTGCTAAACAAATTTCAGATAAACCTTGAATAATGTTAAAACGGTCTTAAGAATATATAGTTAACATGTTATCTCTGATTTTAAAATACAAAAATATTTTTAACCTAATGATACAACAAATAGCATCAAAAATATGTTTCTGCAAAGTCTGCTTTTAGCTCTTTAGGCTGTGATTTATCAGTTTTTCCTCTTGTGATGGTTTATGCATGTATTTAGCACATCTCCTTGGACTTCTGCCATATCTAACTAATACATCAATACTGCACTGAAAAAAAACGGAAAGCACCTTGACAAGGCTATAGAAAGAGAAGTGCCGCAGAGCAGTGGTCAAGCCGAAGAATTTTACACATGAAGCCAGGTGCAGTGGAAAACTGAAAAAGCTTAGTGATTCTCCGTGCAGCTGCCTGTGTGTTTAAAGTCCTTCTGTGAACAAGGTCGGTGACTGCAACTGTGGCTTGGAGAGAAAAAAGCATGAAGGGGAAAAAAGAAAGGACAAAAATCTAAAACTATTCATAACAAAAGAAAGAAAAGGCATATGTGAGTACATATGAAACAATGATATAATAGAAAAACAAAATGGAAAAATAAAGATGTAGGAAATTTAAACAGGTGAAGCACTAAGCTAAGTCATGTATGTAGTATAGTATGAGATCAGAGAGAGTTCAGAATGCTTATCTTTTCAATATCTTTCCCTTGATAATTTAACTTTTCCACCTAAAATACAGTCAAGTGGCATTTGCTTTTTGGATGATTATTTTATATACTAAACCAGGAGATAGAAGTGCTATGAATAATGCCATCTAGCTTTGCAAACTTCGAGCATAATTATTAGCTGGCTTTACAAGGAAATAAAACAGATTTACTTGAAGCAGGTATAACTTCTTTAGAATATTCTACCTACTTGCTGTAAAGTTTACAATATACATCAATATGGAACTTTAAAAAGTAATGAAATGAGTGCATTTTAATTTTCTGAATTTGAGATTTATAGTTAAGGAAGAAACTATTACATATTTTTATAATAAATTAAACATATTTAATCTGATTGTAATTCAACACCAAAGGTGCATTTCTGATCACAACTGCTTCACTACAATCCTAAAACAGCTATTATTGTGCCCAGCATGTTGTTGTTGCCATGTAACTACTAATGAAACACACAAATGAGTTAGTGATTTTGTAATATTTTTATGCATTCAAGAATTAGAAATAGGAAGTAAATCTTACTGTTTTGATAAAGAAAAAATGAAAACTGCCTTACTTGCTGAGAATGTTTTATCATATACATTTTAATATTCCTTTAAATGGCTTGACATTAAATAATTTGAAAGAACCATCAAAATGGCCAGAGTAGCTACCTGTGAAATAAAATCACCACAGAGAAGACACATTGATAAGGGTATAATCCCATGCATTTTCCAAATTTAGATCTTTTTGCAGATCCTTACTCCTTTCTTCTTGTTTAGTTGGGCTATTATCGCTCATTATGTCTAAGGGACTAAACTGATTGAAATGTTCATTGAGACTAGAGTGCTACTGAAAAACAAAACAAAACAAAAGGAAAGTGGGTGAGAGAGGAATAAAATGCATCCAAAGAAACATGTAGCAGTTTTTTTTTTTAATCAAACATTTTGTTTTAAAAGTTTGAAAAGGCTAGGGGTTAAATTAGAAATTCCAAAAAAGAACTAAAATGAACATTTCTAAATGTGCAGTCTTTAAAAGATAACAATAAATCATATATCATATATTGGGCAAAAATGAAAGGGACTTTGTATTCAGATATAAACTTCTGGCAAGATCTGGTTTGTTGTCAGGTTCCCAGACACTAAATAGATGCTCTGTTCACTTAGCGTGAAGGCCCGCAAGGGCCAGGGACCTCCGGGGATTCTTGGCAGTTCTCAAGTCTCATTAGGTCTGCATATTAATGACTTGCAGCAATATAAAGAGACCCTTGAGCAGCCTTTTCCCCTTCCTCTTGCCTGGGTTTCCCAAGGCTAAGAAAGCCATAGATACAGGACCCGTTAGCCAAGGGAGAGGCTTATGGCAGACACTGCAGCCAGAACACCGTGGGCTGTGCACTGCCCTTTGACACAGGGCCTCAGCCCTGATACACCAAGTGTGGCATGTAAGGAATGGTACCTTGCAAACAAGTCCCTGTCTCTCTCTCTCTGGCAACGTCATTACGGCCAATAAAGGTCAAATATTAAGTGAGTTGACAAGAACCCAGAGGTGATGTTTTTGAGAAGCTACAAGGATTGACTAGCTTTTTGATCTCCTCATGTGTCAAATAAACACAAACAATGAAGAAAAAGTTAAAAATTCAGGAAGCATGACTCCATAGGTGATACCTAAATAATTTGGAAAGCGGAAGTTTCTGAAATTATTTTCATTTTATGGCACATTTTTAATTACTTGTAGGAGATTTTAGAGCTTGTAGATCTTGTAAAACTTACGGGTTAAGCTTCCACAGGAAAAAAAATAAGGAAAATATAATAAATAAATATATATACACATTTGCAATTCCTATCAGTGACTATCAGTAAGTCCACCTACAAATGCACTCAGAGCTCAACTTCTCCTGGATCATAAACCCTGTGAAAAAATAAACAGAACCCTAGGATGCTTCAGAAAATACACATTATCTCCTATTTATTACTGTCCTGAAGCCCAAAGCCTCAAGACTGCAAACTCCGTTCTCAAGCTGTTCAAGCCTTATAATTATCATTCCTTCTTTCATTTAGTACTTGGTGGTGTGAAAAATGCATTGCTGTGGAAAGCATGAAATATGGATTCTAGTTCCCAATCACCTTTTTATTTTCCTGTGACCTTGTGCAGATCAATCAATTTCATTTATCTTCAGTTAATTTATCTATAAATGGGTCTAACAGTACCTTAATTAACTGAAGATTTAGGGACTGAACCCAGGTTAGAGATCTAGAGCTTTTGTATGCAATATAATTCCACTAAAACAGGCTGCCTGAGGCAGGTGCATTTTATATTCTTACATATTACACAATAAATTTCTAACTTCAGCTCTTCAAAAGATTATGTATCTTTTCAGGACTCAAATCGTACAACCACTAACACAGGATGACAATATATTTCTGAAGAGTTGCCAGCATTATACTAATAGATAACTACCTAGAAAATAATTCTCTCTAAATCTATGCAAAAAAAAAAAAAAAAAAAAAAAACTACTGAATCAGTACTTGGAATGCTGCTTGATGACACTTACCAGCTGACTGGCCGCGGTTGGTGGCATCATGGTCACTGTCTCCCTGTTCACTGTCCCCGTGACCACTATCCTTAGAGCTTACTATGTCCGCTTCCTGGAATGCAGAACTAGAAGCACAAAAATGTGAATATTAGAATGAAAAAAGTGGAAGAAGCAGAGAAAACATTCTTCTGCCACCACATGGTCACAGATGTGCGCTGCAGACTCAGAGACTTCAGTTGGCTGTATTTCTGCAGAAACTCGTTTTCATAATCCAAGGCTAACTTTTTAAAACTTGAGCATGAGCAGTCCCTTTGAACACTTAAGACATGACAAGTTTAGGTATGCTTCTGATTGGAACTAGGTATATGTTAATGTATAAAATGTTCATAAGACAAATATATCTACACAGAACAGTTATGAAACCTATCAGAATTTATGTAGGAATGTAAACCCACAAAAATGTTGTTATTTGTATAAAAAAATATACCTTTTAAAATATAGAGGAAATTGTACTTATATATTATAGCCTAATTTAAAATATTTTATGCATGTTACCTGATAATATACCTATTTCCTGACTTTTGCTAGGTAATAAATTTTCTAGCCCCGAAGCTAGGGAAATAAAAGAGTCCATACCTGTTAACTCGGCGAGGTCTGTCAACTAGATAGCTGAGCTCTGCTCGCTGGTGTTTAGTCTAGGGGGAAAAAAAATAAATCAAGAGCATTTGAATACTAAAGGTTTCATTTATAATCTGTTTCTGAATTTCAAACAATACATAGTTTAAGTAACTATATATGTTTATAAAATTCCAAGCTTTCCTAAGACCTCAGCCTAGTGGGTGTTGGGTAAGGAAAGGAGATATGCACAGACTTCTGAATCAATTTTTTTTCACTTAGTTGTAAAGGTTTAAACCTATACTGGCAAACTTTAAGTGTGTGTGTGTGTGTGTGTGTGTGTGTGTGTGTGATGTGTGTGTGTTTTAAGGGAGAATGTAAATTACCCCATAGTTAGGGCTCATCAACTATTGTCTCTAAAGAGTCAACCTAAACTGCAGTCTTTTCCTTCAGTGGCCTAAAAAAAAGTGTTTAGGTGCATATTGGTTGACACAAGAAAAACAGCACGCTCAAGAAGCAAAAAGTTTGGATATTTTATGGAATGATTTCGTTGTTTATTTTCAAAATGTATTTAAGATACAAATGAGCTGTACAAAGAGTCATGAAAGTCAATGAGCAATACGTAAGACTCAAATAAGTAAAATAAGGAGGTGCCAAGACAGAATTTCATAGTTCTAGCCCACCAGACTCTTCCACATCCAAAGGCCCCCTGTATTCTTCTCCCAACCTCCACCACCCACACACCTTTTCAGGTCCAAATTTTGTTTTACATCAACCAACTCTGTTCCCCACCCCAATTTAGCTGCTTCTCCATTTTTTTTTAATAAATCGAAATTGACAAGCCGGATTCTTTGATGAAGAAAGCCAACAGCAAGGATTTATCAAAAAACAGTGGCAGTAAGGTAATTATTAGCCCAAAGATATATTTAAGACAATTGTTTAAGCTTTTTCGTTACTCTTACAGTGGTCTGTGCCAAAGCAACTTCATTCAAATTCACGCCATGTGGGCGTTAGGCTTCAAGAGCATCTGTAAATGCTGTGTAGAGCAGAACTGAAGGCTCCCCATCCCCCCACCGGAGTTCAGAGGATAAGGATCTGACAACTTGTTCACTTACATATGCATTCGAATTCAGACACTGTGGAAAGTTCGACAGTCTCTAGCTTACTTGTGCACGCTACTGAAAGTAGTGATCACGAAGTAAAATAGAATAAAGTTTATTAACTCCTGGGACAGATGCAAAGAGAAAAGGAGCTTTGCTAGGGCTAGAAAGCCCCTCCCCGCATCTCTCTCCCTCAGCGCGCACTTTCCCTTATTCTCTCAGACTTCTGAGCAGGAAAATGACCCATAGATAGCTCAGCTTTTAAGGGAAAGGTGGGAAGAAAGGGAAGAGGGAATTCCAAAGTGGCAAAGCACCAAGCAAGGAAGGAAAATAAATATGGAGGGGTGGAGCGCAGAGAATTAGAAACCACGTGAACGTTAGGTTACACACGAAGGGGTAGGAAAAGGTGACCCCCCCGCATCCCCGCCCCCCCCAGGATACAAATAAGCTAATATCTTAAAAATGAATACAGAGTGCACCAGAGATACAAGGGCCGGGCTAGAGGAGGCTCTCGGATGGAGGAGATGAGAGATGGTGGTCCTTTCGCTTCAGCCTTACCTCGTTGGACAAAATGCTTCCGTTGGAGATGATGTCGGGCTGCTGGTCGGTGTAGCCTGTGACGATGGCCCCGCAGGGATTGTGCTCAGTGTCCGCACTCCTGGAAGGGCTGCAGGGCTTCAGGAACATCAGATCTGTCTTCGCGGACTCTGGGGTCAGGCAGACCTGGTAGCAGTAATTCTGGTTGTGATGGTGAGAGCCAAAGCCCCCGGACTCCTCCACAGGCACCTGGGCCGGGTTGCTCGGGACATTGGAGCTCTGCACCAGCATAATGTCCGACTTGCTGAGTTTTTTCTTGCGCCCTCGGGCTTGGCGGCCACAGCAGGTCGACCCCCCGCTGCCACAGCAGCAACAGCAGAGGCAGCAGTCGCTGGCGAGACACGTGTAGATATTGAGCTTTTTCTCTTTTTGGCAGCGAACAGCCAGCACGATCATGGCCAGCAGGAAGATGAAGGACACCGAGCCCAGCGCTATGATGAGGATGAGGGTGAGGTCCAGAGAGGTCTCCCCGCCGCCGGAGCGGCTGGGGCGCTGGTGCTCCCCTGACCCGCCG